GTGTTATAAACACTATACTGCGCATCCACAGCCCCCTTATAGGCAACAAGATATTTTGGTGTCCCTGGTCTCTTAACGAGTGGGTACAATAGATCTGACAAATCCTTTCCTTTCATGAGAAGCTTTGATGATATACTATCTTGTTTCATACACAGCAACGAGAAGCCACCTTTCAGTCATGAACCACGACTGTTTCGGCTAATATTTGAAACCAGACAGAGCTGAAAGAACTTTTTTCTCGTTATTAAAGCCATGGTGTGCCATTTCTTTGACTTTTCTATAAAATTACTAGCATATTATTTCTAGGGGGACAACCAATTCAAGGAGAAGAGATCTTTAGTATTTTAAAAGCCAAAGCTGACAAAATACTAGGCATTAACTAACTTGAACCTAAAGCATTGTGAATTCACATGACAGAGTAGTGCAAAACCAATGGAGAAACTTGGCTAATCTATGGTATCCAAATGATGATGTTTGCAGATGTCAGGAAAACCTGGTTTCATATTGCTAAGCCTTCTCAAGAAACAGGAGTTCAAGTTTCCTTGTTAAGATCCGTGTCTTCTCACAATAGAGTTGCTGACTGTAAAGATACAGAGGAGCCCCTTCGAGACAGAATGTACAAGCGAGTGAGGGGGAATGAATGAACTTTGACGGCTTCCAGATTTTCATGAATTTAAAATGATGATTGTATAATTAGTTATATATGAAAGACAAACAAGATTCCTCCTTCCAGATAGTGAGAGTCTGCCATACCAAAGCCTGCCTCATGAGACATTCAATAAGCATATTTCATACTTAATCCCATTCCATCTTCTCTACCAGGTATTGCATTTTCACTACCGGGGCTTCTAATGCAACTTGGCCTCTCTCAAGTGATCAGAGATCCTGTGGCCTGAGATATGGGACTGAGAGATGCCTCCCTCTTTCCAGAGTCTACTCACACCTATCAGAATCCTTTTCCTTAAAAAGGACTTCAATCTAAGTGTATTGCTCAGCAGCCTAGCAAAGTGTTGTGTTAATGCAATTTCCTCTTTCTGGAGCATTGTATTGTAAAAAAATGTCCTACCAAATAATGCACAGGATGTTCCCTGTGACATGCATAGAGAATAAACTGTACACTGTTGCTAAGAATCAAGAGGAAAAACCTAAGGGTAAAATATTAAATATTTTGTGGAGGGAACTGTAGTTTTTGCAGGGAAGGAAGGAAGGATCTTAGTGGAAGGGTGAAGGAACCAGGAGAGGTGTTCGCAAGAGGGACGGGGAGAAAAAGAAAAAAAAGCTGATTTTTTTTAACTTTGGGGGCTGGATGGCTGCAGGGTGACTGGAATGGGAGAGTGTGCCATCTGATATAATGGTGGCTGTGAATGGGTATGGATCTTGTTTCCTCTGGGTCAATGGTATTAAACAGTATTTTACCTCCATGAGCTGCCTTTCCACTAGTCCACTACTAAGGCAGAGTTACCATTAAAATGCATCCCAGAATTCATTGCCTGCCTCTGAACGACTCCCTTTGTGATGAAAAGGCTGTTACACTCCACATGGGAAGCACCTGGACAGGGTAATGGAGAGACATTTTGTGGGAGGAAGACACTGTTTAAGAGAAATGAGGAAACAATGCATATATGCCTGGCACCCATTTCAAAGCTCCATGTGAATGAACTACTAATGCACAGTGCAATTCAAATACAGTCATGCGTCAATGAAAATCCTGAGTTATTTGAATGGAGTATTTTTGTGAACCACTGGACTAAAACAGTCCTTGGAAAGTAACTAGTAAGGGGTGCACACCTTTCAAAAAGTGAAAATGGACGCAATTTGAAAAATCATATGGGAGCTAATGGCAGTCAATTCACTCATGTCTCCTGGTTACTCGCCTGAAGTCTCTGCTGCAAAGAGGATCTCCCACTGCTTGCTGCAACTGAAAAACTGGTCACTCCAGTTTGGGAAAACAATTCATTAACCAGTGGAAGGAAGTTCTATCAGTCTGCTTCAGGATATAGGAGGCACTCCTGAGTCATGTCTTCAAATCATCGTGTCTCTAAACCACAGCACTGCAAGCTGTCTGGATCTGCAATTTTGAAATATTTTGATTTCCGTCAGCAAATTGCTGAATTAGCTCCCACAAGATCATCAATAGCATACCTATAGAAGGACTGTCTCCTAACGAGGCTGGTGCTTTTCAGATGATCTGGAATTGAGCATTATAGCAGATGGAAGACCCAGAATCTCTCTTTAGATCATATTCTAGCCATCCTGAAATGTCTTTTTGCCATTGACATTGCATAACTTGCAGCTCCCTTAAAAGAAACATGGATGACATAAGCTGTCTCACTGGAAGGGGCATGTGCAGTGACAATTATTTTAAGCACTAACACTGAAGTATACATTTTTTACTTTACGTACAATGCCTGTGCCTCACCTAGGATTATATACGGCACGAACACCTGAAAAGCAACCCAGACGTGCAGAAAGGCTCCAGGATTCTGCAATATCTCAGGGGACTGACTGTATTGTGGTCACATTTTAGGTGTGGCCACATTTTATCAGATTGGAAAAACTAGAATTAACATGCCTGTAATACCAGCTCCATCTTCCTACTCGCCCTACCCAAAAAGCTATGGTTCTGCTTAAAGAACCATAGAGAATTTGGGAGAAGGTTGGGGTTTTTTTGTAGAATTCTCTAGCAAAAAGCTAGCTCTGTATTAGGCTAGGCTGACTTACTCATTCTATATAAAGATCATTTCTAACAATATTAAGTAATTTGTATACAATCCTATGAGTTTCTTCTGTTAAATTCTATAGGACTTTGCAATAAAATTTAGAAAATGAAAGCCTGAAGTTATAGACAGAATATTTAAGACATGAATTGGAGATGGGGTCCAAATTGCAAAGTTCTGATCAAAGTTTTCCGAAAGTGCGTTGTGTGCTCTGAACTGGGGTTTTTGTTTATGTTCTGCTTAGATAAAATATTACGGTTGTTTAAAATATATATATTTATTTGACTGAATAGACTGGCTTTTATAAATCTGTTTTAGCCATCATGTAATTTTTAGGGCATTGGCAGGCAAAGGAGGGGCAAACTTGAAAAGCATGTCTCAATTTAGAAAACTAATTATCACTAGACTGCTCTGTACCAGACTATAGCATAGAACCAATATCAGTGCGCATTCAAAATGTTATATAAAACTGTTCCTAAACATACTTTTAGCCAATTTTTAAAAGTTAAAATAATTCAAATAATTCAATTAAGTCCTTACCACCGCCAGTTTTAGAATAAAATATTAACAAATGTGTAGCAAGCAAGTTAGAAAAACTTCAACTAGGCAGTTTAAATTATTGATTTGTGTCCTCCAATGTTTCATGTAAAAAGCCACTGCAGTTCCTAATGCTTGAAAAGCAGTGGCCCAACACAGTATACATTCTATAGCTCAGAGTAAGTCAATATAATGCTCTGGACAAGTACAAAGTCATCTCTGAGTAAATTTGATGAACAAGATATAAATAATGAAAAATGGTGTTAATGGTGAAGATATTCATAATTCCTCAAAGGAAACTTGCACTTATTTTGCTCAGCAGCAGAGAGGTTCAGAAGACAAGCTGCCCCTGTCATTATGAATTAACTATTAAATGATTTTTTATTTAAGTTTCCAATTATTGTACCCCTAGTACTTCTGAGATTAATGCTGCAGACAGCCATCTTGATAGAACTGAGGCCGCTTACGACTGACAGTAAGAGTACCCAACTCCAGATATTCAGCACCCATTTTCATCCTCCACTTATACCCGGTAGAAAAATATTAATGATCACAATTTTGGAAGCTAAATGCCACGCATTAGACTCCCTTATAATGTTAAACCTTATTAAGATCAAGATGCTGAAATTTCATTGGTGTTCCTTGGACTGGACCATGATGTGTCCATTATTGTCACAAGCAACACATCTCAGTAAAATTGCCACATCCACTCAGAAATGCTCACTGTAATAAAAAAATTAAACATGATGCCAACTGCTTAATTTATGAGATTTCATGCTGCTGTGCCAAAACCAAAATGTCCACAGTTTCCTTTAACCCAAAGAAGTCAAAAGGATGCTACTCTCCATATAATACTGAATAGAAACTAATGATACATTTAGTTCTTATTGTTTAAGGCAGCAGTTGCCAAACTCTGACAGACTGTGCATCACCAATTCAAAATTATACAACCTTAAGTACCACCAGCAAATTTTTGTCACAAACTTATCATAATAAACCTGTTAACATGTACCACCGACAGGCTGTCTGTGTACCACCGGTGGTACTCGTACCACTGATTGGGAACTGCTGGTTTAAGGGATTAGTGGGCAAAGGTTCAATGAGACTGGTCTGTGTTATTTTCACTAGATAAAAAGTTTTCTAGCTTCAGTCACTCACACCTCATTTCTAATTTTGGGCAAAGAGGCCACTGTGTGCTTTCAGCAGCTTAGAATGAAATGCCGTAGCAGTTTGGTACATTTTCTTTCAATATTCTGGCAGAATAATGGACTATGATCAATTTGGTATGCTCTGTAGCTACCAGGTTACAAAGAGTTTAAGCCACAAAACTGAAGGTAAATTTCAGGGTAAAAGCTATTTGGACATTGCAGCACTGAGCCTTTAAAAAAAAGAAAAAAAAAGACGACACACATACAGCGGTACGTACGTCTGATTTCTGCAGGTCACAATTTTCCTTTGACAATGCAATGGGCATAAAAGGGGCTCTTTATAGATTCCAAACCCTTAGAACAGAGCGAGACAGCAGATCTACCAAGACACTTCTCTTGTAGCTATGCAAAAATATGTGAAACAAAAGGGCATGTATCTAAATATTATATATAGATATATACATAAAATAAAATGTTGAAATATTTAGATAGATGCAATATATATTGCAACATTTCAGTTTTACTCTTCTTAGGTTGGGAGGAAATGGAGGCTCATTGTATCAACGTTACTTCCTTAATAAAGATCTGGAATCCTTACCTCCCAATCCAGGTAGTCACATACATCTTCAAAGTTAGTGAGTAGAGACACTGAGCAGAAAAGCCGTGGCAGCTCATCCCTCGTCATGGGGGGGAAACGGCTATCTTTAAGGGCACTGTTGAAAACAAAATATATTTTTCAAGTGCTACAGCTTATTGGTTAAGCTACACCCACGAATTAAACTACTGGAAAAGGACAAAAGACAATATAAAGCTGATGTAATGAGGACTAATCTGGCAATTCAATAGTCATATGTGATTTTGCAGCTTTCCAATCCTTTCCTCTAAGGCATCTGCTTTTCAAATTTCTTTCCTGGCAAACTTATATGGTCACACTGGCTGACCAGAGTCCAAACAACTAGGTTTCCTGGGCGATCATTCTCTGCCAAGTTGATTTTGTTACCGGGATGATCTAACTAATCAGAAAGAAACACTTTTCGGGGTATTTTTTCTTTTTTTTTTTAAAGACCAGTCATAGCATATTTGTTTTGAGAGGATTAAACAACAGTGTTAGGAGGTGGAAGGAATATCACGCTGGAAAAAATTACATTGCAAATAATCAGAAACTGGTAATACTATAAAATATTTAACATATCAATGTAAAAAAATCTGAATAAACAAAATATTAATGGAAAATTAAAAAAGGTCAATACACAGGAAAAATACTCATAAGGAACTCTCACTGGAACTCAACACTCGTGAAATTACCAGACATGCAACTACTCTGCAAAACAGAGGTCTGAGTAATTCTGATGTCTAAACATCCTTGCTAATCCTCAACTAAGATATGATCCTGTGAGTAAATATATAAGATAGCTAGGCTTAGCAGGAGTTAATTTTTAATAAATGGTGGTTTTACCTCACACTCACAGGCCGATGGAAAAATATTTCTATCGTTAATTATCAACATTTATAGAAAGGGGTTGTAAGAATAGGCTGCTGCTGCAGTGGCTGGAGGTGGCGGTTGGGCTGAGCATTGTGTCCGTGTTTGTGCCCCCCCGCCCCCCCAACTTGGTGCCAGTCACCCGGGCCCTCCCTTGCAAACTCAGGCATGATCCAATGGGCAGAACAAGCCTCTGGTTGCAGAGGGCACATGGTGCGACTGCTGTGGGATAAAGGAAAGCAGGCACTGAGCTAAGAAAGGCTGTGCGCAGGGGCCAGGTGGAGGGCTGACAGCAATTTCCCTTGCTGCGTGCTGGGCTGGAGGAGGAAGAGTATGTGCATGTGTCCCCACACCCTTAAGTTTCCTGAAAAATTAAATTGATAAAAAACAAAATGAATGCTTAAAAATAAACATTGATCTTAGCTGTTGAAATTATTTTAAAAATAAATTAAATTCTACCAAGCCTAAAGACAGCACAACAAAATAGAAGGGAAAGTGGTACCATATGCATCAGATCTAAATACCTTTTACAAGAGAGAGAGAGAGAGAGACGATGGTTACAGAGCAGAGACTTTGTAAACAATATAACAGCATCTTGTCCAAGATTTTGTAAAAAAAAGTAGAAGGTAAATCAGGAAAAGCTTATAGTGAATACAATACATTTCCATTTCCTAAACTTGGGGGTGGACACATGGCATGTGCCTGTGTTTAACCAGAGGAAGCACTGTTCCATAACTGACAGATTCTCCTTCTTGGCTGAAACAAAAAGTATTGAAGATGGGTTTAAGGATCTCTCTTCTTCAATAGCTTTTTTTTTTTTTTTTTTAAATCAAATGTGGACAGCCACCAATTCCAAGAATTAGCTGAACCGGGTTATGATTCTTGGATATGATTGAAGTAAATCCTGAACACTATTACATGTGTAATTGCAGTCTCTAGGTCCAATCCAGCTACAGTGTAAAAGAAATATTCCTATCAATGGCAGGATACAACTCACTCTCACTCAAATATATTTGGAATGAACAGGGCTGGAGATCAAAAACATGTTTAATTGTTATACATATGCTTTATTCAGAGTTAATTCCCTGTCACAAATCAGTAGTATATAGCAAATCATGCTTAATGGAGGAGTTTTAAAATAAAGTACAGTAGAATCCAGGAAGAATGAGGGGTAAACTGGCCAGGGTATATACATTTGCAGCAAAACAGCAGCACTGGACTGCTGAAGTACTCTAGCTGATTGCTACAATTTTTGCTTCAATGGGCACTAGTTCTCAATCACCTGTGAAGGGCCACTGATATGCTCCAACTGAAGGCAGAAGCAGAGTCCTTTGAAGTAAACGCTAGAGCAAATAACTGAGTGACTCATCCTTAATTTCAGGTATTCAGGTTGTAGCCGTATTGGTTTAGAGGAAAAGACAAACTGACTGCCCAGAGGGGTTTTCCATCTATTGACTCCTCTGTGAAATCCAGGAAATACGAACTTTCATTTCTACCCAGGAGAACTTTTACAATCTTTTCTCCAAAACCTGATGAAGGATGTTTGTGCCTGAAAGCTTGCAATTAAAGAATCTTTTTTGCAAAAATCTTGTTGGTCTAATAAAAGATATCTCTACTATGAGTCCCGATTGCCTCATCCTTAATTTGGCAACCAGCTGCAAATTAAACAGATTGTGAACCGTACAGTGACAAATGATCTGGGTTCAACTGCATAAGTGTTATTTGGATGCTAGGATTCAAAAGATTACCTAAACACACCTAACAACAGTAGTGGGGAATATTAAAATCTCTTTGAAAAAACAACTCTCATAGTTTTAAAGAAAAAGACATTCAAATTTTCACTCTGGATGTAGATAAACCCAGTTCACTATACAGATTGAGCCAGGTAAGAGATTTGCTATACTTAACATTAAGAAGTATTTTTAGGAAGTCCAACCTTCATGCCATAAAAGAGCACAGAAAAACACCAGGATGGTACAGCTAGAACAATAACTAGATACCTTCTTAAGAAAGAGGAATATGCTGTGAAGAAATGTAAGCAAATTGCAAAACTCTGCGCCACAGTTTAGCCATCTGAAAATGGGGATAATATGAATCTACGTAAAACTATGAGAACTTTGGAAGAAGCATACAAGCATTTACATTCACAGACAGGGATGATGGAATGGTTCTTTGCTGACAAAAGCTTGAGTCCCAGGAACAATTTATCACTGCAATAATTAGGTAAATCATTGTTGATCCAATCACTTACTGCTGTGCCAGGCTACTTTTGAAGAGAAATGTTGCATTGAAAATAATTTTTGTATAGTAAAGAATATGCCAAATGAACATACACAATATTCAGATGCTTAACTGCATTTTTCAAAACCCAAAACAACTGGAAAAGTTACTGTCTAAGAAAATCTTTAATTTGCTATTCTCAATTTTGAAATTTTAAAATCAAAATATTAAGTGACATGAGAATATCCACTGCCAACATTCTCAGTGCCTGGTAGTCTGCCCACATCAGCTAATACAACACTTAACAGAGCCAGCTACTCTGACTAGTATTTTTAAACCAAAAATTCCTGTTCTTGCATGTTCTCATTTAGAGAGCCTTTCCCTCTCCTCTTTTCTTTTGTTTCATGGGTCATGCTTTCTTATTTAATATCTTGCTTCAAATTATAGACCAAGGCCCTGATCTACAAAGGTATTTCATACAATCATAGAATCGCAGAAAGTTAGGGTTGGAAGGGACCTCAGGGGATCACATCTAGTCCAACCCCCTACTCGAGGCAGGACCATCCCCAGCTAGATCATCCAGCCAAAGCTTTGTCTAGCTGGGTTTTGAAAACCTCCAAGGATGGAGCTTCTGGGTAACTTGTTCCAGTGTTTTACTACCCTCCTAGTGAGAAAATTCTTCCTAACATCTAACCTAAACTTCCCTTGCTGCAACTTGAGCCCGTTGTTCCTTGTTCTGTTGTCTGCCACCTCTGAGAACGGTCCAGCTCCATCCTCTTTTGAATTTCCCTTCAGGTAATTGAAGGCTGCTATTAAATCCCCTCTCAGTCTTCTCTTCTGGAGAATAAATAAGCCCAGTTTCTTCAGTCTTTCCTCAAGTCATGCCCCCCAGTTCCCTCACCATTTTTGCTGTTGCCTAATATGCCTTTGAAACCAATGGGAACTGAGACCCTTAAGTAACTATGTGAGTGTGCCCTTAAGCTCATTGGGGCCTGCATTAGGGTTACCACATGACGCATCCTCTTTTTGGGTCCTCTGATCTCCGGGCAGGTTTTTCGAAATCTAAATGTCTGGGATTTTGCTCTGCTCTGCTGGCGGGAGCTGGGGTGGGCCATGGGAGACACGGGACATAACATGTTCTGAGTGCAGTCTGAGAGGGGCCCTCTGGAGGCAGTGGGGAGCTGCACAGCTGGGCTAGTGGCACCGAGGACTGGTGCCTGTGCTCGCAGGGGCAGAGCACCCAGGAGACGCTGCCCGGTGGAGAGGGGAGGAGGAGCCAGGTTGCCTGGCAAGGTGCAGGAGCCCCAACCTGGAGCGCAGGGTGCTACAGGTGTCCCCTCTTCCTCCCTCCAGCCCATACTGGGGCCAGACTCATTCCATCGCCACTCACACAACCTGGAGCTACTGCAGGTGCCTTGTTACAGCCCAGTTGGGACTGGGGCAGCTGGAGGCCCCCTCCAGCAGGGCTGGGGGGAGCAGGTCTGTGGGTTGGCAGTGAGGGGCACTGGGCAGGGGGGCAGAGGGCTGTAGGTGGAGAGTGTGCGGTACCGGCAGGGATGTGGGGCTGTCAACTGGGACTGAGGGGCACCAGCTTGGCCCAGGGGGGCAGGGGATTACAGGTGGGGAGTGAGGGGCACTGGCAGTGCCACGGGGCTGTGGGTTGGGAGTGAGGTGTCCGTCCCCCCCAACAGGTGTCCTCTTTTTTTTGGAACTGGAAATATGGTAACCCTAGCCTGCATTGTCCTGCTAGGGGTGAAATCCTAGACCCAGGAAGTTAGTGTTAAAAATTCCAGGGACACATTCTCAGCTGTTGTAACTGTCACAGATCTACAACAATTTACACTAACTTGGGGGCAAAGACACCATCCTAGGAGCTTAGTAGAACAGCTAGCAAAATGAGGCCTCAATGCTAAATGAAATCTCCAAGCTCTACTGCAACAAATACTTACAAAGTATCTCTCAACATACTTTGAGAGATATGGATAAAATCATGACAAATGTGAATGAAGCCAG